AGCATATAGCTAAAATCTAACGATGGTTATACAATAGCAGCTGCATTCTGACGTGATAAGCTGTATGTTTTATATTCAATTAACGTATGATCTGATTAGTCGACTAATCGAATAAATAATCGGTGATTAATCGATTATTAAAATAATCGTTTGTGGCAGCCCTACTTCTAAGTGTGATGAAAAACATTCAAAGTACCAATGTTGTATTTGAAAAGGATGAATGCAATCTGACCCCACCCGCTTTCCTTATTCTTCTTACCAGCAGAAAGGTAGACTGCAAGAAACTGCTCTCTCCCTAGGAGAGAAACAATTCCAGAGGAGAACATCCATAGGACGTACATGTTGGCCAACATGTGGAAAATGGAGTAGTGACTGAAGCAAGACAGAATCATAGGAAGACATCGTGTTTCTGATGAAGAGATAAAATAAAACAAAATAACGAAACCATTTCCACAATGGAAACAGAAATGGAACTTAGTTTTGGTCAGGCGATCATGCTGGCAAAACTACCACCTACAGGAAAATGAATGTAGCTGTTTTAATATTTCATTTCCAACAACAAATTAAAGAATCGTTGAACTCACTGGAGGCTGGGTTGGACGTGAAGTACTTGACCATAGTTCTTTGCATGGACGGGATCCGCCAGCAGCACAGAATTGCAGCATTTATAGCGATAATGCCTAGAAAACAAAACGTGAATGGAGTTGAACCTGACACAGAATGAGTCTTAAGACAATTTTATAAAAGACAAAGATGGTCTGCTTTAAAAAAAAACTACCAGTGGCTGTCCTTTGTCCCTCAGTGAGACTGTTCCAGAAGTCGTCCACTTTGGACACCAGAAGGATGAGTTGTCTCTGGAAGCCGGACAGTTGGTTCCACCAGTCGTGCCAGTATGCCATGTCCTGGGAGCCCTGAGACACAACGGTTCACTCAGTTTACTGGGTCAACAGGTAATAAAAGTTAACAGAAGCTTTAGTTGTTTTGAGTGACCTTTTACCAGCACGAGTTTCTCCAGCTCCTCTCCATCCTTTGCAGTCCGGACTCTTGATTTTAGGGTCTCGTACTGCAGAATGGCTGCTGCGCCAAAGGAGCAGCCTGTAAACTGACATGAAATCAGACAGCAAGCAACAACATTCCTTGGTCCTAAATCTCGTTTTAGAATGAACACACACCAGCTGGCCTCTGAACAAAACCACATGATTCTTGTCTCGTGTCTCTTTTTATCAAATTACCTCTGACCTCTTGGGGCATGACCACAGGACATCTGTGGGGGTTCTATGTGGACCATTTGTCGAGGCTCATTGGTTTGAAGTTTTACTATGCTTTGCATACTAAATCTTAATTAAGGAGATATTTTTGTTAAAAAAATAAAAGTAAAAAAGACACTTACCCCAACTGTGAACATTAGCGGTCTAAAAAGTGTTGGTCTTCTGAGTATTGGAGGAGGTGGGGGATCTGTTGTGCCAGCCCCAGGAGGAGAGGGTTTAGTTTGTTGGGTGACATTTCCTTTCCTGGTTTTTGGCTTTTTAGCTTCTTGGCAGAAACCACACCTCTGTTGGTTGTAGTAGTTAATTCTGTCAAATAGAGAGAGAGAAAAAAAACTCACAAAAGTGAGAAAATCTACAGTAACTAGCATAAGGATTTGTAAAAATAAACATATTTTACTTTAAAACCTGAGGAGCTTCAACTGTATAGATTTATTTGAAGTGTTCCTGAAAGGATGGTGTTTAAACAGAGGCGAGAAAATTAAAATAAATAAATAAATAAATAAACGATAAAAAGCCATTAAAATGAAAGTAAATTACAATGCAAAATTATTCAAGATTTGTTCATGTGAGAAAGAAAAGTATACTTCCTCTGTACAGGCTGTACTCTCACCAGCATTAACATAGATAAAAATAGTGGTCTTATGATACTTTGTTTTCAGGAGAAAGCCTGCACAAGATGGTTTCTGAGACACTACAGTAAACGTATTAAATAATGGAGAGCCGCACACTTTAGAGAGTCCTTAAATCAGGGGCACCCAAACATTTTCCCCGAAAGGGCCAAAATTAAAATCAATCTGAGGGCGGTGGGCCAAATGCAATAAAATAATACAAGAAATGCAAATACTTCAAGTGAAGTTGTGCTTTTTATGATTAATCTAGCAGCCAGTGCGGTTGCCCACATTTTTTCTGTATTTTTTTTTTCAGCCCATGGACATGGAGAAAATTCAGTGTTTGCTCAAGCAGCAAAGGCTCATGGGACTTTTCATAC